ACACAAAAAGTGGAAATTGAAACATTTTAAAGTCGTTTCATGTTCTAACGTTCGAATTTTTTTTTTTAATTTTTTTGTTGTTTGAAGAGACACCCAAGTACATTAAAAATTTGCAAAAAAAATGGGGGTCACCGACCAAATAGGAGAACTAGCCCCAAATATGATACACCCTGCATATCGCACTAGTCCCCATTCAAATCAATGGGAAAATGGGTGTTTTTTCACTAAAGCATTATTTTTTATGACTGTCTGACGTTCGAATTTTTTAAAAAAATTTTTGCGTAAAGAGGCCTCCAAGTACATTTAAATTTTACCAAAAAAATTTGGGGTAACCGACCAAATAAGAGAACTACACCATGTTGAAGTGCATTACACCCTGCGTGACGCACTAGTCCCCATTCAAATCAATGGGAAAATGGGTGTTTTTTCACTAAAGCATTATTTTTAATGACTTTCTTTCAAATTTTTCTAAAAATTTACTTGTGTAAAGAAGCCTCCAAGTACATATATATATTTTACCAAAAAAATTGGGGGTCACCGACCAAATAAGAGAACTACGCCAAGTTGAAGTGCGTTGCACCCTGCGGGACGCACTAGTCGGAAGTCCCCATTAAATTCAATGGGAAAATGGGTGTTTTTCACGAAATCGTTATTTTTTTATTTTTTTTATTTATTTTTTTTTTTTTTGTGTGTGTGTGTGTGTGTGTGTGTGTGTGGAGAGAGAGACATCTAAGTACATTTAAAACTTTCATTATGTTTAACAGTTGAAGTGAGTATACTCAGCTATATTCAATTTTTTCATACTGATGAAGTGTAGGCCTAAGCCATTTACTTTACAAAAAAATATTGAAGAGTAATAAGGGAAATACTCATGTATATGAAAATAGTTTATGGTCGTTGTTTTATATTAATGAATATAACATGAACGTGACATCGTAAACACTGCGTTGTCAAGTAAAATGAAGCGTCTGATACAAAGTATCAAATGCGGCATTCACGTGCTTGCTTGCGGTGCGTTCAGTACACTTTGTTTACACTGACAAGTCAAGGTCAGAAGTGCACAATTTTTCTGTAGGCTATAATATAATGCAGTTTTAATTTTGATTAATGAATTTTCTTCAAGTTGTATGGCCATTTTCTGAACATTTGTATAAGCTACGAAATATTTCTCAGTCAAAATTTCTCTAAGTCCAAATGAATGGCGTTACGACGCACTTCCGGTTTTTGTCAAAATCTAAGCTACGGTATGCAGCACATTCAAGGCGTTCTACCTCAAAATTTACGCAGCCGCTTTGATTGGAATTTACAACACTTATTCTTTACATGATATAGCACCTACGTGCATAATTTGTGAGCTTTAGCTGTCATACATTTTCTAGTGGCAATTCAAATTGGAAAAGGAGCTACAGTATTCCGACGATTTCTTAAAGGGCAAGTCTATGAACGTGCTACAGTTGTCGTATGGAATCATAGTCGACAAACGTTGTCGAAAATCTGTATCGATCATACGGAGTTACATACAAGTTGATAGTGTGTGTTTATTTTATAGATAATTGTTTTATTTCCCCAAATTGATAAAACAGACTGCAGTGTCGTTAAGCTACTCTTACAACCGGTCGTGCGTGCTTCTACGAGCGGTTTGCGTGCAAAAAATTGGCCAAGTAGTAAGATACACGCACGTGGAGCGTACTATTTTTGGTGGACGCAAACATGACGCAAAGCACGCAGCCCGAAAAATGGCCGGCCAGTTTTTCGCTACGACCTGTCTGCGACAATTAGAACGCCTGGAGCACGCTCGTAGCACGCAAGACAAAAGTACTGAGTAAGTGCGCTAGGCGTGCGTGTAACGCAGGAAAAGCATGCAGAAATTACGGGGTATTTTACCACGAAGACGTACTTACCACGCAAGAGACTCGTAAGTTTAACTTGCTTTCAGTGTAGGCCCTACGTGTTAACAAAAAGGGGGGTGAGCGCACTTCCTCCGTGCGTTTATCTTACTTCCAAAGTGCGTGGCGAGTACTACTACCATACCTGTGAAATGCGTCACACTAAGACGACGCACGTGCCCAGCACGATAAAAGTACAGGCGATCCCGAGCAACCACTGCCAGCGTTGCGTCACGATCTTCGGCCTCCTCTAGCATTAGCAGCTGTAGAAGTCGATGGCGCATCCTTCTTGGAAGTGCCTTTTTGGAAGCCAAAACAGTGAATGATGAAGAGACTCGGTGCTCCCTTTTATATTATTTTGATTGTCCGTGCGTTCGACTTCCGTACTTATTACGTTTCTCTTACGTTTCTCTTACTTCGTAAGTACGGTTTCTGAAAACGTACGCTTCACTTGCAATACACGTATGATTATCTCACTCACTGTGTGCGACACGAGTACAGATCGTACGTGCTCCTTACTTCTTCCTACTTCCAAAAAAAGGCGTACAGACCACTTGCAGGCCCCACGTTTAGAGCACGACACACCTACTCATAAAGTACTTACTACTTCGTCCGCTGCGATTTAATTTTCATCCTGCGACAACGCTACGTCTGACGAGAACTCCGAGGACGCACGATCTCTAAGCACGCACGACGGGTTGTAAGAGAGGCTTTAGAGACGATTGACGATGCGCTGAAATTACGCAAATCGTCAAATTACGTAACCACCGATCTACCTTTAACTGAAAGAGAATACCTACATTCTAGCACTTTATAAACCTTGTAATATCTCAATTCAGGTACGTGCATCTCTAACTTCTGCTGGCATGGTGCAACGTGTGTAGCTCATACTACAAATTTGAAATGGAAGTGCTTTTGTCCCCTGGGTTATCAAGGAAGATGGTGCCAAAAAGGTACGCCGTTCCTTTCTAATAGTGGACACAGTGTCTATCTCAGTATTGACAGATAACCGCTAACAGCTCGAAGTTGAAATGCATGCAGCAAAGTGATTAAGGGCGCATTCCCATAGATTTTAGATCGATCTAGTGGGGAGTCTCACTAGATTACTGTCAGATAATCCGGCTTAAAAGTCCGTCCCGCCTACTACAAGCTGTAAAGGGATAATTAACTTTCGTGTAAAGGGGTAATTAACTCGACTGACAGCTATCTAGCGTGAACCCCCAGGGAGTTTGGTCGATCTAGTTGGATCGATCTAATTTCTGGGAATGGGGTCTAAGTGATTAGATGGACCTTTTATAATGAAGACATTTGATGATGCCCGTTAAGGTGGTTAATTTTTTTTTAGTATTCTGTCGTGGACCAGTACCAATGTATATCATTTTATTTATTTTTCCCGCTCTGTTATGACAAAATTCAGAGATCATGTTTTCCCGCCCGCCTGTGAGCCGGTGATGATAATTTCTGCTACCTTTTCGTAGACTATTAGGGTTGGGAAGATGGAACTTTCGCAATGGAGAAATCTGTCATCAAAGATGTGCATGGGCATTTTGGATCTTTCACTTAACAGATTGGGCTGCTACTCTATCAATATCCACATTTAAAACTTCCTCGCTTTAATGGTCTAGCGGGAGTTAGTAAAAAATACAGCGTGAAAATTAAGATTGAACCTTCCCCCATTGTAACGCATTCTACAATTTTCTTCTTGGCCATCGGAATGAGAGTTGAAACTTAGGGAAACGATAGTCCTATCATCAGGAATATGCGTGGGGGCTTTGTAATTTAAGTTTGCCTATTTATAGGACAGTCCCCGGGCGTGGATAATTATAATTTCCTGAATTGTAAATTGGGCTATTTTCCTAAGACCTATAATGAAGAAGTTGAAACTTTTGGGATTGAATGCGCCAGATAATTTGCTTCATGTCTGCAGAAATTGATAGCCAATTCACGAGGATATTTTGTGAGTGAGAAAAAATAATAAAACAAATGGGTAAGTTAAAGCCTCGGTCACAACCGGACGCACGTATTTTAGGATTGTACGTTCTCTACGAATTTTGGGTGCAGCGGAGGTCGTGTAGTTCGCAGAGGTTAACGAAATGTTTCAATGGAAAGGCGCAAGTCTGCCATTTGAGTCGCAGGGGCCACGCAAGATGTCCTTTTAAGAGGGACGCTATTTGCAGGGCGCGATGACCGTGGAAATTGTATTTATTCATTGAGTCTGTCTTGCGGCCTGCGAACGTGGCACGCACTCACTACATGTACTTCCGCAGAGAATGCAACGCACGGCCAAAGTAGTTCCCGTTTGCATCACACTTGCATCACACTTGCCTCACACCGTCATACGTTTCGATGACGTAGTGGCGGCGTACGTCAATTTTGCCTCCTGTTCTCCCCTTATTTCTTCTTCCTCATCTTTTCTTTTCTGCTCTCAAATTTTCTTTCTTTTGCCTTATGAAGGCATATTAAAAGCTGAATTGAGCAAACTTTGAAATTCCTGAAAGTTATTGTACACGTTGCACAATCGACTTTCATTGTCGAGACAAGAGCGTGCGTCGTGAGCACACCTTTTATACTTCAGCGTGCGCCGTACTCAACACGCAAAAGGCACTTGCTCTTTCATTGTTTGCGACGTGTGTCTTGGACCACGCACGTCTCTCTTGCGAACTCCTTGTGAACTCCTTGCGAGGCGCGCTTGTCACGCTTGCGTCCTAGCTGTTCGCAGGTTATTCGTAAAATATTTTGGACATGTTCAATATTCTCCGTACGTGCTTACGGGGTGTCTGCGAACTCGAAAATTCGTAAGAAGGACTTGCATGGAACGCGAGATGCTGCGGCAAATTTGGACGCGAACAGCCCATAACAGCCCGTACTGTCATGGCCTGTACGCCCGTACTTAAAGAGTCAAAGCAAAGTATCGACACTCTAGCTAACCGTCATATATTATCTTAATGGCTTAAGATATTTTTGTTAAGGTGAACGTCAAATATATTTCTTTTCTTTCAGCAGTGACGGGATAAAACCGAGAATATGCAAGAGGGAATAGACCTTTGGACATTCATTGAAAATTATTTCTGAATTAAGTAACTGAATTGAAAATATTTTGGACATTGCATTTTATTCTTTTTATTGCTCTGCAATTTCTACATCCCATTTGTTTTACCATTTATGATTCTAAGCATAGAACCCTTAATTGTCGTTTTTAGTAAAAGTGCGGACAGATATGGACATTGACAACACGCTATGGTCAATGGATTATTTTTCATGTTTTTAATATTTCAATAACAAATGCCACATTGCATTGCATTCTTTGTGTGGTACAGCTACAGTTGTAAACAAACCCTTTGCACTGCGACCTTATGTGATTTGGGGGCTGAAAATCATTGACCCTGTCTCGATATGGCAAAGAACCATTTAAAAACTCACCATACAGATGGTGATCGATCCAGATCAGAATGAACATTTATGTAAGTCTATGCCTGTCCTTTCCTTAATATTTCCATCAAAATTCGTTTCTTATAACAAAACTCTGTGAAGTACGCACCAACTAGTCCACAATACCAGCCAATTTTGGTATACTGTAGCTGTTTTGCTTTACCATGTCAATATTTGGGACAAGGGTGACACCAAGCTTGCTGAAAACTGGGCAGCCACAAGCCTGAGTAACTCTTTCGATTTTTATAAAAATAAAAACCTTGTGCGTTGAATTAATCCTTGAAGTTTTATGCCTGTCGGCATAACCCAACACAATTAATCTCCGCTCCTTAATTCTCGTAAGTGTTTTTCCAATTGCGTTGGAAGCTTATATTAGGTTCGTTCCGGAAAACGTTTCTTCATATCAATATCCAACGGATAACAAAATTACAACACAGATTGTTAATAAGATAACGGAAGTTAGCTATTACGGAAAAGTTCATTTTGTTTCGAAGCCAGTATCTTGTGATGAATGTCAGCGTCTCGAATCTCCTGAAGAGTTCCCAAAACGGATGGTATATATTTCACCGGAAGTTTCTGTTTTAGTTCCAAAATTTCCGTTTTCCTCACGGGAGTCGCGCACAGAAGAAAGTGGCCCAAAACATCCATTAGTCGACACGTTGTGTCTAGTATGTCTTCAACAGTTTCGTGCAGCCATGAGATTTTGACCTCCAGTGAAAGGTCAAAGGTCACATTTGGCTGAGTGTCATGATCCTTACTCAGCCAAACGGCGGCCATGTTGTCCAGTCTCTGTAATTGATATATAAATACTCAGGTAAAAGTATGTCACTTGAAATGAACAAAATATCGTCAAGAGATGTAGATGCTGTAATGTTCAATGTTACAAAAGGGTAGGCCTGAGAGGGAAGAATGACGCCGTTTGATCGACATTCAGATACAATTTGTTACCCATTAGGAAAACAATGGCCAAAGCGCTGAAAAAATAATTGCCAGGTCTCTGCTCAAAAATTGATTTGAGTCGACCCTTAGTGAATGAAATACTTTAACATTGTTTTCATGGACATATTATTCACTATGTGACATATTTCTTTTCTTTTAACCTCTTACATGAAAACCAACGTCACAATTTTATTCAGTTGCGACGGTGCCATACCATGTATCTCACCTACAGCAATCAGTGCACTTGTAGTAAGTTTGATTAAATTTCTTTATCATTTGAATTAGGTGACTAAGCCGGATTATATTGTAAACCAAATTGATGGTCAAATATTTGTGCAGAAATTTGCTTTTCCGCTTTCATTTTCAATAATAAATCAATATTTATTTTTTGTTTCAATTATCAAAGCTCGACCACAGGGCGACCACCAGAAGCGCCATAGAAAAGCGTCGCATAAATATACATTGTTTTTAATAATTTTCCTCCTTTTTCCTCCTATTTCTTTTCCCTATAATAGTAATTTTTAACAATAATTTGACCATGATGTCACAGCATTCTACTTATCACGTCTACTCCATATCTCAACGTTTGTGACGTACTGGTACATTTCGAATTGGCGGAAATCCCTCATGATGTCTTACAGTTGCCATTTTTTACTCAAGATGCCAAGAAGATAACACACAGCAGCACAAACTTACCTTTTTTATTCTGTTCAACAAGTTGACGATTTCAATTTCGTTGTCATTGGAAAGACACGCCGTGGCCAGACCGTGAGTACATTGCAATGCCTCTTTCATGCACCCCAACTTGGCAGTCAGTTCACACCAAACTTCAGTTATTATTTTCAGTTTGTGATATCTATTAACGGTAGGGAAAAAAGAAATGTAAGGATCTGGTATTGCATTACATTGTCATAAATCTTATCCATAGGGTTTATAGTACAAAAAATACAACATGTAATAACTGTAGTTTACTAAGTTAAACAACGTTTTATAAAGGTACATGTATGAGATGCCATGTTACCAACGCTATTTAAAGTTTTTGTCGTTGATTTTTGAAAGAAACATGCACTAAATTCCAATATTGATTAAAATAGGAAAGCTTTATCTGACATAAATTGAAACTATAGTTAAGGCTGTAGCTGTATATTGCACTTCAACACAGGGAGAAGAACCATGTAACCATCACCTCGTTCTAAACGCCAGCGTTATTTTTCCTTTCTCCTCTCCCTCTATCATCTTCTGCATGGGTCTGAGGTAACCTTCCTGAAGTTGGGTGGCTACGGCTCTTAATAGAATGACATTCCTGGTCAGATTCTCGGATACCGTTTGCTCGGCCATCGCGGTGTACGCTGTTTGTTGTTCTTTTCGTTCCGGTGTACGACAGGATATTTAGAGTCTGTGGCTAAGTGATTTGTTCATCTATTACTGTGTGTGCTTTCGATTCCAACTGAAACTTATTTCTTCTTGGAGCTAGGACTTGTCGTGTTACCATTTAGAAATAGATACGCTGTCTCTTTTTTTTTTTTTTTTTTTTGCGACTATTTTTGTCTTGAAGAGCCCGTCATCCGTTTAGTTACTTTTTAATTCTTCACACGTAGAAATGTGCAGTTGGCCGAATTATACTTTAACGTCTTAAAACGATGCTGGACTTCTCCAATCCGTCTTTCTTTTTTTCTCCCTACTACATCTAGCTGGCCTTGTGAGCTCTAGCTGGCCTTGTGAGCTCTATTTGCAGTTCAAGCTATAGGCTTGATTTTTCAGTTTGCAACCGATACTGTCTTTAGTTCGAAGTTTTTCTTGATCCGAGTCGGTGCGTTCCTTGACCTGTGGATGAAGACAAGCAGAGATAAGAGAGATTAGATGACAATAGTACTTTGCTGTTTGATAAAAAAATGTTGCCTAACAAAACGGTTTATTTCCTACAAACGTAATTTTGCGTCGTGTTGTCAGTGCGGATATAGAAGGCAGTAGTTTAGAAGAGGGGGTGTATACAATGTATATATAAATGTGTCCAACACTCGAAACGTTCGAGGCGTCTGTCCGCTGGCAATATGGTCCCAGAACTTAACTTCAAAAGTTATTTTGGTAAATGGACGATATGCAAAAGACTCCGAGCCGATCGGTTAATATAAGTACCATTCTATGACTGCTAAACAAATAGATATCACCATGTTTGATTAACAACTAATTTGGATTCTAAACCGAAACAGGAAGGACATGGCTCTTTAATGGTATAATTTTTTTCTGAAATTAACACTTTATTCTTTTTCATCAAGGAAGCCTACACTCTCTCCAACACTTTAGATAAAAATTTCAATTCGTTCTCGAAGTACTTATTCCCAAAGTACTCATTTTTACTCAAAAACTCAGAAACTTGGAAACTCTTCACTGAATGCTTTTGCTAAAAAAACGATTATTTTTGCGCCACTTCAGAAGGGTTTACACCCTCTCACCCCATGCAGGCCAGCTGGGTGGCTACTGCTTTTTTTCTTTTTTATTTATTTATGATTATTATTTTATTGTTTTTATTATTTTCTGGGCAAAAATCCACAGAGACGAGTGCAGAGAAGCAAATGAATATATGTGAATATCTACAAGAAATCCCTGCACGTACCCAACACACACATACATACACATGCAGTGGCGGATTTAGAGGGGGACAGAGTGTCCTGACCCCCCCCCTTTCAGTTTCTGAAATATATATTACACCAATATTCCCCCTCTTGAAATTAGAATTTTGACTAGCTACATCATAGTTCTAAACCGTACCAAAGGGCACTGTTTGCTCTCCAAAGCACCAAACTTGAGCAGGCTCTGAACCCCACACAAAGGGGGCGATGGTAGGCTTCGCATCCAAGGGCTGTCGTTCCGGACCCCCTTCAAATAATCCTGAATACGTCCCTGCACATGTATGTACGCGTACTATCACGCTCGTGTTGACATTTGCACACAAATGTACACAGGCAGTGTAACATGTGTGCGCGCACGCACACGCGTCGGTAAAATATCCCAACTGAGCCGCTTTTGTTCTTTATTGCTTATATTAGGAGTTCTGCTTTCGCACAGTTTGTACTGTTTAATGGGTTTTAATTCAAATATTTATCAAAGGTCCTCTGTGATTCAAAGGCTGCCTCCACAGAAGAAAAAAGGACTAATTAAATATCTTCACTGTGCATAAAAATTCTGCCGCACAGTAAGCAAACCCATTAATATTTTTTTCTAATATTTATAAGGCATAATACGTTTTCTGTGTTACGTTTTTTATGTTTACAAATATACCAAAACTGTTCTGTAGTCACTATTTTGCATTCCTTTTACCCAACCCTGAAGTTAAGCTGCAATAGCCTATATTTGAAGGGTGAGAAACTGAAGGGTTAAAAACTTAGGACTGACATAAATTCCCCCCCATGCTCACTCAACTATGAAGTCATACGTGTATCTGTGTATTCATGAAGTTATCTTTCTAACAAGTTTATGACTGATGTTTATATTATTGATTATGTAAACATCATAATTCTGACTGAACGTTCAAAGTTCATCCTCTAAACTGCAAGTCCCAATTAATTGCAATTTTTAGTAACGGTTTAGTTACTATTTGTTTTTAGTAACGATTTAGTTACTGTTTGTTTTGCGGTAAAATACGCGGGTTCATTCAATTCGCACGGATGTTCAAGAGAAAAAAAAACAGAAAGAAACTGAAAACAAAATCACTTCCCCTGTGTAGCCTATATAATGTACAGTGTATAGTGTTCTTTATTCAATTTACTCATGGAAGGAACTTCAACTATTTCAACCCAGCATGTTTCAGTCGCTGTCTTAGTCAACCAAAACTCTCGATTTTAGCGGCTGCTCATGACGTCACGTGCAAACCCCCAAAAGCACAAGTAACGCTTGACGTGACAAATTTAACTCCTGCACAAACGCAAACGCGTAAGTCAATAACGACGTAAGTTCCAGTATGTAGCAAAGTAAAACCACGCTCTGAATAACTTGAGCAATCTTATCCATCACTTTTACAAGGATAAAGTTACAACGCGAGGTACATGTATAAATAAAGCTGGGTGTAACAACCGTAGCCCCTTCCACTCTGTATGTGTCATGTTACACACTGTTTACGCGTTTTTACTTGCGGTTCAGCCTAGCGGATCTATAGGCCCTAGATTTAATCTTCTTCATCATCTTCTTCTGATATTGTGCAAACTTAAAGGCGTATACAGAACAAGTTGATCCGCTGACTAAATATGGCTGACCGTTTTAAAAGTTTGCCGCATAATTCTCTATAATAGACACTAAGGGGCCATTCCCACAGATATTTGGATCGATCTATCTCCCTGGGGAGTCTCACTAAATTGCTATCAAACTAACCGGCTTAAACGTCTGTCACGCTTAGTAAAGGGGGTAATTATAGCTGATTCGGTAGGCGTGACAGACATGTTAACATATTGAGCTGATAGCAATTTAGCGTGACCCCCAGGGAATTAAGGCGATCCAGATGGATCGATCTAAGTATGGGAACCCAGTCTAAATAGATTACGCTGTAAGCTTTCAAGTGGGTCGGCAATATTTGATCTTGTCGCAGGAAAATGACTGTTAAACTGCGTTCCCATAAACCTCACGAACTAGCTGGATCGATCTAAAATTTTTGCTAAATTGCATTTAGTTTAAGCCGATTAAATGTCGGATATGACCCCTTGTAACTGTGGTCCATCATGTTGTATAGAATTGCTTTGTGTGGGGGGGGGGGGGTCGTTCCAGACAATTCAGCTGATTACATTGACTGCGCCTTAGCGGGAATACCCGCTGAAATAGATCGATCCTGCTAGTGCGAAAAGGTTATGGGAACGCAGTCCCTTATATTTATATTTGGTGTCGAACTGACAAAAATGAATTTAAGCATTACTTTGCTCATACTAGCATAGTGAAAATGTAGGCGGTTGGTTTAAGGTTATTTCTTTTGTCTATAAAAATTTCATTGTGTGAGTATATTTCAATTTAGAAGAGCACTTTTTTCTGAGATTTTCGAGTCCGAATATCTAATCAGTGCCCAGTAGACTCTCAGGTTTATGTCACAGACAGCGACAGAGTCGTGGATCACTGCCCCCCCCCCCCCCCCACACACACACACTCACACACACAACGCATGCACTTTTTTAATGTTTTTAATTACAACAGTCATAAGCTTTCTAAATGGTGTCCTCTTTATATATTTTACATACAATTATGAATTATCTTAACCTGAAAAGAAGAACAATTTGCAAGAGCTGTTTAAATTAAATGCACTTAAGTGTAAAATAGTCACATGTAGGAAGTTTTGTGTTTCTTTTGAATGTATATTTAATGTAAAGGTAGAATATACACGAAAACCAAAAGGAAGTAGTGTCTACTTTACTGCAGTTTCTCTCTATTAATTAAGAAAAAAATACACAATCTTACTGTTTCAGAAAACTGGAGTGTTTCATAATATAATAATTTTTAGCTCTTGGATCTGTGAGTACTTATGGAATATAAAACCGCCAAGATGCGGAAGATGTCGACAATGCCAGTCCACTTACTAAAAAAATAAAATAAAATAAAAACGAGAGCACTACATTTGTAATGTAAACATTCAAGAAGTAGCAATGAATAGTTTTAAAAATAAGGGTCAGATATCGCCTGATTTTAGAGTAAAAAACTCACCGGTCTTCGTAGGTCGACAGTCTTCACTAAACATGATCATGCCCTATTTTATTTACCTCGTGAGCATGCGTTACCTGTGACAAAAGGGCCATGCCGCCATTCAGAATCACAAGCGTGACACATTTTTTTGTACAAAGAAAAACAAGATTCAAATCGGGTGGTCGCCTTTTGCACACGACAGACAGATTAAATAAAAGTGAAAAGTTTTTTTGTCTCCTTTCTTCATATACTCAGCGTTCTTTCAGATGAATTTAGTCACTGAGTTTCCTTGTTCATTTTCCACAGCTAATTAAAGTCTTACATGCGGCGTTGCATATGCTAGCTACGATTAAATTCTCTTTTTGCAGGTTATGTTCGTGATTCCACTTCTCTTTTTTCTTGCCATGCATTAACAGAAATACCATTTATTAGTAAAGTCTGATTTCTGGATACCAGAAAGGTAATATTGTATGTCCAGCGCTTTAGATAACATGAAAGTATCAAGTTAACAACAACTCAGTGTACTTTTCTACTTGCGCGCTTTGGTGTGGAATTTAAAGCACCCTTAAGCATCGTATGCAAGTATGATAAGATGGCAACAAAATGAGACGATTAAGAGTTAGCGTCGGTGACTTAGGGATCATTCCTAATGATACTGTTGTTCTACAGCTCGATTCAACTTTGAGGGGACTCACGCTGAATGCAATTATTTTAGCGGATAAACACGCCTCCTCTTGTTCCCAGCGAATTTGTATAAACACTATTTTCTTCTGTTATCTACTTAACGACAGGGGGAGGAGTGTAAATCTCTTTAACAGATTGCATTCAGCGTGAGTCCCCACACAGAGTTGGATCGATCTCCGTAGAACGATGGTTTCATTAGGAGTTAGCCATTATTGGTCTCATTTATGTCACTGCATGTGGACGCTGCCTTACTTTACTTAAAGTCATGAGCATGAATGAGGCTCAAGTCTTTATATTTGCCCACCGATGTCATATGATATAAACCGAGCAGGAAGACGTGTTCAAGAAAAGAACATCAGTCAAGTCCATATATCTTCTTGAAGTCACATGCCAAAACACTGCATTAAATCCTCGACAACCGTTGTTACTTGCTGGTCTAGGACCCGAATGTCATCTAAACGGATGTGACTCTAATCTTTGCGTGGAAAACACACCAATTTTTTTATGTTTATTTATTTATTTATTTATTTATTTATTTATTTATTTATTGCAAAATAAATAAGAAAGGCGCGATTCAGGAATATATCCACGTGCGTTAACGTGTGAAGCACATTGTAAACACTCTGTGGTTTCTGTCATTCCCCCTTTGAAATGCAACTGAAGTTACTCTAGATATACATAAAATAAACATTGTTCAACCTACTTTAGGTAATGTTGTATAAACCCAAAGACAGCAACCTCCGCTAACAGAGTGATTCAGATTCTGATTTCCTCTATGAAAGTCACAGAACAAGAACCAAAGATGGCCAGTAGGCCTACTATCTATATCTGCTAGCCGCTCAGCTTGTCAAATAAGATACATGCAAGGTTATTCTATGGGCACATTCAGATTCAGACATCGTACCAGCTGGGTCGGTCCAACTTCGCGGGGGATTCTCACTAAGTGCAATCAGTGGGATCAGCTTAATTATCTGGAACTCTAACCCGATCAGCTAGGGGGTAATTAAGTCGAGCGCAACCGGCTTGTGCGATGACTGAATCTAAATGCAGTCTATGATCTGTATAGAATGATGTTGATTCGTGTCCTCTATATTGTTGGCCACTGGTACCGGTCTATTACTGTTACAACAATTTCACTATAATAACGATACATGCATCCATATATAAGCACAAAACACCGTTAACGCTCAAAGAAAAATGTACTATGTATATAAAAAGCAATAGGTCTATATCCTGATACACCAGACAGATCAATCAATAGGCGTTATAATTTGACGTATCTTGTTCTTCATGGTCCCATTTCAATCCTGAAACGACCTAAACTGCATCAGATGTCATTCCAGGCTGGCAACCTTCAAGTCAACTTTGGTTGCCAGTATAATCTCTGTCTTCTGCATTAAATTTAAACATGCTGGCTCTAATATTAATGAGCGATATAGAGTATTTGACTGTTTAGCACGTGCGCTTTACATTTTTTGTTTAAATGACTTCGCTGGCTTCCAGATTTTGCTGTCTATTTAAGCTCATGCGCATAGATTTAACTAAGAGTCTTTCTTTAGAAGCAATAATTAAATAAAACTGTGCATTCGTCTGGGTTGCCATTTAAAAAACCGAGAACTGACATGCTTTGAGAGAGAGAGAGAGAGAGAGAGAGAGAGAGAGAGAGAGAATCATCAATCCAAGCACAATACGTACCAACTGAACTTCTACTTACGTCTCATTCTCACAGACAGTAGTCTCCACAGTTTACATAACCTAAGACTTAAAGTAAAGTGCACATCGTGACCAAATAAAGTCAAAGGAATCAAATCAGAATTTACCAGTCAAAATAATCTCCATATGGTATTAACGTAAGACTTTAGCTCAATCTCCACCGCAAACGTAATTTTAAGCGCATGGCGTAATATTATCGGGAGTTGATAACGCTTTTCCTAGCAAACCTCCCCCCCCTCATGATTTTATCCCCCTTCTGCCTTTCCAAAATTGCTCAAATACGTGGCGTCAATATAAACAAACGGCAAGCCCTGTTCTGTCATTTAGTAAATAAATGTAGGAACTCAGTTTTTTTATTTTTTATTTTATTTTTTTAATGTACAAATGTTAGCAAGCATCAAGTATAAGTCACATTACTGTCAAAATTACAAAGAGATATTTACAGCGCGCGCGCGACCGCCCCCCCCCCCCCCCCACCCACACAC